TTATTTTATGTGTGTGGGTGTTTTGCCTGCATGTTTGACTGTGCACTACATGCATTCCTGGTGGCTGAAGCCAGAAGAGGGTCGTGTTTTCAGATCAAGTACTGGAGTTAACAGACAGTTGTGAGTCACCCTGTGGGTGCTGAGAATTACACCTGGGTCCTCTGGAAGAGCAGCCAGTCCTCTTAACCGCTGGACCGTTTTTGTGTTGTTTATTTTTAAAATACAACTCAGGCCCAGGGGTGCCATTGCCCACAATGGGCTGGGCCCTCCCACATCAATCATTAATCAAGTAAAATGTCCAACGTGAAGGAAGCGTTTTCTCAACTGAGAGTCCCCCTTTCCACATGACTCTAGCTTGTGTCAAACTGACAAAGAACTAACCAGCATACCTGTCTCTGTGTCGCTAGAAATTAGAACCTCGGGGCTGGAGAGATGGCTTAGTGGTTAAGAGCACAGGCTGCTCTTCCTAGATGGACCTGGGTTCAATTTCCAGCACCCATATGGCATTTCCTGTCTATAAACTCCAGTTCCAGGGGATCCGACACCCTCACACAGACATACATGCAATGCAGGCAGTACACCAACATACATAAAACAAAAATAAATTTAAAAAAAAAAGAAATTAGAACTTCACTTCTTAGTGTCTCTTGTTCACTTAGATGCACTGAGGTTCCAGCCTCTGGCAGATTACATCAGAACTGCCTGGGCTGATTTCAAAGGTGGATTAAAATTCCTTATTTCTAGAGGCTTTCAAGTTTTTCTAACGAGGGATTTAAGTGTACACTTCTAAAAGGGTACCTTTTTATTGGTTCAGCTTTTGCATGCATTTTATTAAATCCTTTCCATTATTGCATGGCTTTAGGAAACTTTTAACTTGCTAACTCAACCCTTCACCTCTCATATTTCAGATTTTTACTGTTTTTTTTTTTTTTTTTTTTTTTTTTGAGATATGGTTTCACAACATACCCGTGTTGACGCAGAGGTTCCAGAATCTTTTGCCCAAGTGCTGGAATTATAGGCCTATTATATCAGGTCCAGACATTTCTCTATTAATGCAAGTATTATCATCCAGGGATCTTAGGTTGGGTTAGTTTTCTCCACCACTTAAAGAATTGAAAAGACAGGAAATAAATCACTCACAGCAAACAAGTTTTATTAAAAGGCAATGGTTACACATACTCCCTCACACACAAAGACACTCTCCACAAGTGGAGAGATTTTTGAAGACCAAAATTGAGTCCCCCTCACCCATTCTCCCTAGACATTTAAACGTTTTTTAGTGGTATAGGGTGGGTTCCCCTCTCCTTATTTTGGATAAATAAAGAAGGAATTGATGGGCACAGAGCTTCATGGAAGCGGAGACCTGTCCAGAACTGACCTTGAGCATATCTGGGTGGGCCGGCCAGAAGTGAAAAAAGCCCACCAGGCCTTTGTTCTAAATGAAGGAGCATTCTTGGTGCTTAGCCACAGCCTCTTTTCCCACCTGTCTGTTTGTTGGGGTTCTTCTCTTCCTTCAGTAGTTTTCATTTCCCCTTCTTTCCATTTCCTCCTTTCTCCCCAGCTGGCTTCTTTTCCTTCTGCTGGTTCTGCCCTATCTCATGTTACAGGCTTTCTGGAGTGTGTAATGATCCATGATCATCCATTCCTATTTCAAAGCTTTCTGAAAATCAAGGGTTGCAGAGGGTAGGGTGCATTTCAATTCAACATCTGTTCAAAACTGTTGGAATTGATACACATGGGCTGACCTTGAACTCCAGATCCCAGTGCCTACAGATCTACACCACACTTACACTCACTTTTTGGGAAGGTAAACAAGTTTTGTGGAATGAGGTCCATGAAACTGAGACAGACTCAGGATTGAACAGAATGCAGTTTATTGTGGATTTACTGACAGTCTGTGGTCCTAGCCACAGCAAGGCCTGTGATTTTTGTGAATCACATAAGTCATAAGCATAAGACTTATCTGGACAGAAGTGATTTCATCCAAGCTACAATGTACCTGGTTTATCTCAAGCTAGTATCAAGGATGGCAGACACATTCCTGGCACTGTCAAGGTCTGGGCTGCAAAGCTCCCGTCCATCTCTAAATGTTTTGTCTCCTTATGCTGGGAAAGTTGGCAGGAAGAGACCAGTGTTAGCTGGGAGAATCTGCTGGTTAGTGTGGTCAGGACTAGCTGAGTTCAAACACTGAGACAACTGTCTGTCTAGCCTGATCCCTCATAGCAGGTCACTACTCCCTACCCCCATGCTCCATGTTCCCACACCATTTCCTGCCTCTCTAGCCACGAGACAGTGGTAAGTCTTCTCCACATACCAAGCCCCAATGTTTGGGGTTTTTTGGCCTGGATTTTTTTTTAGGTGAGAAAGCCTTCTCTCTCCAAAGCTTGATAGGACAGTTTTAACATCACTTGACTGATGCCTCTAAGCCCCTAGAAATTACAAATCTTTCTCTAACACCCAATTCATGACTCAGGAGGAGTTTATTTCTTTTCTTTCTTTTTTTTTTTCTTTCAATTTTTGAGAATTCACCCAGCATTGTTTTTGTGAGGGCCATCTGTCACAGGCTGAGTGTCCCTGTACCTTCTTGCCAGGTATGTCAAGAATACAAATTCCCAGTCATTCTTTATCCAGGTCATTTTTTCAGTTGTTTGGGGTGATGAATTTCATATTGGAAGGACTACCTTCCTAAAGGCAAAAAGCAAGCCTGCTCCTACTTACCATAAAAAAATAGTGAGGGAATCACTCTGCTGTAAAACAAACCACTGTGTGTATACATCTCCCAGCCTAACTCCCTCAACCCTGGGGGATTTTGTTGAAGTGTAACCCAGTGCCTTGCCCTAACACTGTTCCCTTTCACTCACGAACCTCTCTATAGTCTGCTGCCCTAAAACAGTAACATCAGCAGTTAGATAGCTTATAATCAGTCCCTTCCCCACAATGATATGCAATTCTTACATAACCATAATGTATCCATTGTTTCCAAGTCTAATTCCCGATATTAAATAGTAAGTACCGTCTCAATTGCAACAAAGTATCGAAAGTCATCTGTACATTCACATTCATATTCTGCCCATTTCAATGCTTCTCGTCTCCCAATTACCTCAGAAGTGAACAGCACTGCTTCCTTCAAAAATTTATTTTCAAAAACAATTTGGAAAATTGTTTTTCCTTTATGGAGAATGATTGAGGGCAGCCAAGCTTTTAGTTTCGATTGAGTGACATAAATATATCATAAGCAAGAGTAAAACAGCAGGTAGACCATCAGCTCAGAAGAACAGGGATCTCCTGATGGACTAAGAGGGTCCTGGGCACGTCACCTCCTCCCGGGTAAGACTTGCAATAAACTGTTCCCATCAGAGGCATTTTTATATTATGGGATAAGCCCAGGCTTTAGTTTAGGGAATGATTTACTCTCAGCTGTGTTCAGGGACACAGCTTCTTTACTCACCTTCTGTTTTCAAGGACACAGATTTTCATTCTTGGGCGGTTTTGCTCTTCTTTCCCCTTTGTACAGGGCTGGAGCCCAGTCCAGCCCTCAGCAAACAGTCTGGGAAGACCCTTTTACAACCACATGCTTAGGACCCAACAAGATGGCTTAGTAAGAACACTTACCACCTGGCCTAAGGACTTGAGTTTGCTCCCCTGAACCCCACACAATGAACTTCAGTCTAGCTGGGGCCTTCTAGTGAGACGCTGTTTCAAAAAAAAAAAAAAAAAAGACAAACATGCTTGGGTTCCAAAAGCACCTTTTTATGGCAATTTACTAATATAATTAATCCCAGCACTCGGGAGGCAGAGCTAGGTGGATCTAGTGAGATCTAGAACAGGCACCAAAATAACACAGAGAAACCCTGTCTCGGGGGGAAAAACAAAAAAACAAAAAACAAACTAATATAATATATAGCACATGCTGACCCTATCCCAAAGCATTTATCACACCTGGGTTAATGCTGCATTGTGGGGTTCACTGTCCACTGCTCAGAAGGCAGTGAGGGGGTGACTCTGAAGACATATCTGTTCAAGACAATGAGCCACAGCATTAGATTCTCCAGAGAAATAAGCAATAGGATATAAATATCCAAATGGATGGAGTAATTAAGGAAATTATAGTAAAATGGTGGAGTCTGACATGTCAGAAATCTCCAGGCCAGGTCAGCAGACTGGAGTTTAGTAACAAGTTAATTTCTAGTTCCGAGTTCTATAAACCAGCAGGCCTGAAACTTGGGAGAATTTTATGCTGCAGTCTTTAGGATCCACAGTGCTGTCCCTACTCTTCAAGCTTCCTTCCCTCCCTGCCAACCTGACACTCATTGTCTGTCTTTGTCTCCCTAGACCACTAACCGATTGAAATCATTCAGTGTGTGGCATTTTCACAGTCTTACCAAGCTGGCCTGGAAATCACAGAGATCTGCCTGGCTCTCCGTCCCAAGTGCTGGGATTAAAGGTGTGGGCCACAGTCTTCTTTTACATGTTAATACTTTTATTTTATTTATTGTTGAGAAAGGGTTTCTCTGTATAACAGTCCTGGCTGCCCTGGAACTCACTCTGTCGACCAGGCTGGCCTCGAACTCACAGAGATCTGCCTGGCTATGTCTCCCAAGTGCTGGGACTAAAGGCGTGCGCCACCACTAGAGGCAGCTAGCTTCTTTTTAACACTGCACAGGACCCCACTGTCTCGATGTACTGGTTTATCCATTTGTTTACTTTGTATTTTCGAAGCCCTTCGAACACTCTGAACACTGAACCACGGGCTCCCAGTGTTTCCAAAGAAGCTGTGCTGTTCTGCATCGTGCTGACTCGGCATTCTATTTTCAAATCACTTTACTGCCCTCCCACTTGGCATAAGTTTACACATAAGAGATGGGCTATTTATTAAAATGCCTGAATCAGAGAAATAAGATCTGACTAGTTGGTGCCAGGTATGGATCAAGATCACTGTCTTCATGTTATTTACCATAATCTACTGATTACGACTATTTTTAAAAAAGAACACATGTAAACACATTTATTACATATATTTGTCACAAAAAAATCACAAAAAGGTAACAAAAAATAGGCTTACATTACAGTTTGTGACGTTAACTGTGTTCAAACACATTTTTCATATTTTTTCAGCATATAGTACTCTGGTTATATACATTTAAAGCAGATAAAAGAAGGCTTGAAACTAGTAAAAAAATGTTAATTTAATTCATATTCAGAAACTTGTGAAATAAAAAGTCATGATGAAGAAATAATTACGAAAAGTTGTACAATTATCAAAGGATCAGGACATTATTTTCCCTTTATAAAAGTATCCCAATAAAACAAAATAAAAACTATGGAAAACACAAAAGTCAAATTAGAGATTTGGTTTTAGTACCTTCCCTGAGTTTCTTTTTAAAACATCAAATTTAAATAAGGCCATTTTAAAACTGACCTAAAGGCTTACCGTCCATGCTGCCATGGGTAATGAGTTTACCGTAAGAGGCTACACCCACTGAAATGGCCCCAGGGCTGTTACATGCCAATCTGCCTGCCTTTATCACAGGATCACTTCAGCCACTGTAGCACATGACCTTAAAGAACTACCATCTTATCTTGACCTGCCATTACGTAACACGAGACTATATCCCAAATGCAGACTAACAATTTCAGTTATTAATAAATACTATATTTCTAAATGGGTTTGGAAACTATACAGCAAATTTTGGCAATAATATAGAAATAATTATTTCTACATGTGAAAAATCTTAAACTAACAGGAGTTAGTAAGCAAATCACCTCGATCCTCTAAGTCTGCATCCTGAAAAAAACTTAAAAACACTCACTCACTAGACCTAACAAAACAAAGTAGAAAAGACATGTTTATGAGCTGACACCTGGGTACAGGCAATCGAATTCCCAAAACAGTAGCTGTCTCCTTAGCCATTAAACCAAATCGGCCCGTACTATGTTTCCATTTGCTCAATTTCAATCATATGTATATATGTATGAGTATGCATGGCTGCAAAAATCAAACACTCAATTCAAACAGCCAAGTCTAATCAAATGAAGGATAAAGGCTTACTTGGAATTAAAATTTTTTGTTTTCTTTCCAATGTACTAAGTTATTTGCTAGGCTTGTATTGTTAAGACACTAAATATCATCGATCACATCTTCTAGTCAAGTGTAGGAACAAAAAAAGGCTTCAGATATATTTGTCAGTCATTCTGGTGCATTCCAAAGAGAGGTGGCAAAGGTCTGCAAACCTGTACACTTCCCTCCATCATAATGAAACTGCAAACTAATTTAGCAAAAGCTGATGACCACGCGCTGTTAAAATGTAGCGGTAAAATGATAGTTCTAAACATGTATTCGTATTCCTACTGTGTACTAGATGCATGAATGACATTAAATAAATGAGGGCTCTGAGGCACAGAAGACACTTTTTTTTTTTTTTTGGTTTTGAGACAGGGTTTCTTTGTGTAGTTTTGGTGCCTATTCTGGATCTCGCTCTGTAGACCAGGCTGGCCTCGAACTCATAGAGATCAGAGATCTGCTTGGCTCTGCCTCCCGAGTGCTGGGATTAATTGCGTGCACCACTACTGCCCAGCTAGAAAGACACTTTTTATCTTGAGGTAGAAAGCCCAGATTGGCCTTGAACTCAAGAATCCGTGTCTCAGCTTCCCAAGTAGCTTTTTTTTTGAAGTTTTCCATTGGTCCCCAGAACCACAAGTTTGTGTGTGTGTGTGTGTGTGTGTGTGTGTTGGGGTTGGAGGGGAATCTAAGAGCTAGGCCATAACTACAGGTTTGACTGTACAGATTAGATCCCTATGGAGCACAATGAATTGAAATTTTTCATGAAACATAAAGGCCCATGTCCTGTGTGCATTACAGATCCTTAATCTAACCTAACCTCTTAAAAACCCTTCAAGCACAGGTCTGGGAAATACCAGTAACCTCCTGCCTTCTCCTAGGTGAAAAGCCAATTCTTGTATAAAAAGAATCCCTACATGTTGTATCACATGTAATCAACATGGTTTAATTATAGCAATTTAGTAACCTCAGAAATCCTCAAAGCTTATGAAGGTATAATACATAAGCATGTGGCATCTACTTATATTGTAACAATTGAGTAACAGATAGTATGTAAACCACTTCTCCATCACTTTCAGTCTCAAGGAACTCAGTCCAGGCAGCTACCATTCCAGGTCCACAGGGTACTGCCCAGTGAGGCAAGCCGTACAGTGTCCCGTCTTCTCAAAACATTCCAGACCATTTCCATTTGCTTGAATTGTAATGTCATGTTTTTTCACTTTCTGCTTCTTGCATTTTATCTCTTGTTGCACAGATGAAACCAGTCCTTCCACTGACAGGTATATAACACTGTTGGCTCCTGAGGAGGAAAGGGAAATGTCAGGAGATTTTTCTGTAGAAGGGAAAACATGCTTCACCACAGCACAGCTACAGAAAGCATCATTTAATGAAAATTCTCCTTTAGCCTTCCTAAAAAGGAAGCTGTATATATATACCTTATAACCTGTAATCCCAGTTTCTTGGGAAGCGGAGGCAAGATGACCACAAGTTCAAGCCAACCAGGACAATTCAAACCTTTAAAAGGGAGGGAAAAACCGGGGATGAGGCCAGGGGGTAGAAATGCTTGTTTAGAACACACAAGTCCCTGGATTTTTGAATGGACAAATCCTGTGTGTGTGTGTGTGTGTGTGTGTGTGTGTGTGTGTGTGTGTGTGTTTTCTGATTGTGTGTGTCCATGTATGTAGGGGGAAGTTTTCTGATTGTGTGTAATTGTTAACTACTCTGTGATGAAACACTTTCTCTCTCTTCTGATATCTCGCTTTTACCTACATCTCTAACATAAAAAGTGCTCCATTGCTTTTACTTTTTAGAATAGTGTTCCATGTCTGCTTAATATATAATAATGGTAATAATTTTTTTTATTTCAGGGTTTCACATTATTTCAACGGTTCAGCAAATACATACATACATACATGTACAAACATGTCACATATACATATACATACATACATACATACATACATAGAAAACATAGTAAAATTAAAATTGGGAACGTAGGTAAAAAGTGTGGAAGTTCATTATACTGCCTGGCTACTTTTCATGTAGCTTTGGGACTTTAACCATAAGGACACACACTTCAGTAACCACACAAAGCTAGCCTACACTGTGTATAAGTAGAAACAATGGCGGCAAAGTGAGAATTCTGAACAATGGAATTCTGGGAAGGATAGGCTTATGAGGGAGAACATCACAGGACCTTACGAATAAGGCAGTATCTCCACTTGAGTATGAATGTTAGATTTTTCTTTCTGTTATCAATGATATAATCCACACATTTTTTTCTGAGTATGTATTTCCAAACTGGGAAAGGTAAAAACAATGGAATAAAGTATGCAAAAATATTTTGAAGGAAATTCACTACACATGATTTTGTATGTGTACATATAAAAATAAACTGTTTTATTTATAAACTTTGTAAGATGTGTGGGGGTTTTTGCTAGGAAGTCACATACCTGAGGTCAGGATAATGGAAATGTACTCACTGGGAGCTAATCACAAGATAGTTCTGATACAAACACCAGTTCTCAACCCTGGATAGTTTGATATTAGGTAATATGGTTTTCTAAACAATTTCCGTAGATTTATAACGTGCCACGGTGTTTCCAAGCATATTTATTCTGTATAGGCAACTAAAGTTTTATTGCGAAAACCTGAAACATCTAAATCTCCATCCCTGTCTTCCTTTCGCAGCTTCCCCTATGGTCAGAAGCTCGATTTTCAGTATTTGCTGAAGTTTCTGGCTGGTTATTAAACGGAATAACAACAACTTCTTTCTTTCCACATTTTGCACCAACTTCAAGTTCACAGGCACATGGTCTACACGTTATGTGTAAGAGTCCTTCACTGTCTTTGGTAAGCGTACTTCCTGTTTGACAGTGGTGTGTATCTGCTGTATTTTACACGCCATTCCACACTTCCTAGGCTGTGACAGTAGTTTGTATTTGCCACTCAAGAACTTTGCAGTGCTGATAGGCTCCATCATGAAGTTTTGCATTAACTTCCTTGGTCTGAACACTTACATCAAATTTGTCCTTTTGAAGGTCAATGTATTCCAGTGTGTCTGAGGCCATGATGCCTTCCTGGGAATCCACCCCAAATCACAAGCACCTTGAGCTGGTGCCACCTTTATGTTACAGGTCTCACTCTGTAGCCCTGGCTGGCTTTGAGCTAAGAGAGATCCGGCTGTCCCTGCCTCCACTGTTGGGATTAAAGGCATGTACTACCACACAAAGCAGGAATTAAAATCTTTAAATTATTTCTAAAAGACTTATAACTTTTGGTGTTACTGTGAATGGTTTTTCTCCCAATGTATATGTGTGCAAGCACATGTGTGTACATGTTTCATCTGTAGAGGCCCAAGGTTAAGGGTCTCAGAGTCATGGATTCCATTAGTCTAGGAAGTCAGCTTATCCACGTGCCGAGTCTGGAATTACAGAGGTACCAATACCTACCCAAAATTATGAACTCAACTGTGGTCCCCAAAACTCATGTTGCAGTTATATAATACAATGATGCTGAGCCATCTCCTCAGCACTCAAATTTATCTTCCAACTATTTGCTGCTTTACACAAAAGCACACTTGGAATTTAAAACAAACAAACCAACAATTAAAATACAGAAATTTTACTACCTACCGAGGTATTCTGCAAGACGTTCAAATTCTGGCTTGTTGGCTATCAGCTCTTCCTTTGTGGGTATGTTGATTCCCATGAAGCAAGGGTATTTTATTGGTGGTGAAGCGACTCGAATGTGCACCTTAGAAAGAAATCATCACTTACACTCAGTAAAATTAATTATACATTTTTCCCACTGTGAAAACTGTCTCACTGAACATTCAGTTAACAACATGAGCAACAAGGTAAACCACAGAAATCATTTCATTGAATAGGTAATATTTTTCTTTCTTAAAAAAGATGATTAGATTTATTCATTTTATATTAGGTGTGAGTGTTTTACCTGCATGTATGTCTGAGCACCATATACATGCTTCATGCTCAGAGATCAGAAGAGGGTATGAGATCTCCCTGGAACTGGAGTTAGGAACGGTTGTGAATCACCATGTGGGTGCTGGGAATCTAAGCTGGGGCTTCTGCAAGAGCAACCAGTGCTTTTAACCAGAGCCATCTCTCCAGTCCATACATTTTTTTTTTTTCTGAATGAGTTATTTTCATTCTCCATATCTTTTACTTCCTATTTAATGACTATACATTCCTAGCTACTTTTGTTTTGTTTTAATACCTAAGTGATACTTTGCTGATCTTTTATTTTACCCTATTAAAAAGATATAGCCTACCAGGTTATAGTGAAAATCTTACTACTCATACTCCTTTTGTCTACTATTGTTTTTGACCTTTCTGTTAGGTTCATGTACATGGTTATAACCATCATCCACATGTTCTTTTTTTTTTCTTTCTTTTTCTTCCCCTCCCCCACATGTTCTTTTTAATCTTAGATCTTGTAAGAACAATCTGCCTGTCTTATGCAATCTTCACACAGATTTAAATGGTCATGACACATTTCATTACACCAGCATGTCACTTTATATATTTAATCCATTTGCAAGTTATGTGTAGGTGCGATATAAGTGAGCAGTGTTTATTCAAACTGAAGAGTGTTTTATGAAGGGCAAGTATTACATACTCTGCAAACCACACTATAAACAGATCTGCTGTCGTCCAGGCTTGTGCCCTATCACAGAGCACAGTTAAAGTCTATTTACTTTAACATGAAGGGCCTTAGGAGTTTGGAATAGTAAAGTCACCAGCTATATTGCCTCTTAGTACAAGTCTGCCCACCCTTTGATGCATCAGAGCTGGGCATGGCTTCGCTCTCTCTAAAAAGGCCTAGATGGCAGGGTCTTCAGTTCTAAGGCTGAAGTCTATCTGCTGCATCCACCTCCATCAGTTATCCTCTTTGAGCTTCTGGATAACTTGCTGCACTCCGGGCACCAACATCTGGTGCTTCACCCCACACTTACATGATGTGGAGAATTTTTTCCCTGAACTTCTCAAGCCCATCTCCAATACCTTCTATTTCCCTTCTGTAGTGTACTCACAGCTCTTAGTCTCTGAAGAATGGGAGAGCTAGGGCCTAATTTCGGACCGGGCTTTGGCTAAGAGAATGTTGAGTTGGGCGTGATGGCACACTGTAATCCCAGCGCTCGGAAGGCAGAGGCAGGAGTTTTTCATCCTTTCAATCAAACAGTTCAAGGCCACTGTAATTTATTTACAGCCAGTGTCCACACTGTGTTTTAGGGAGTAGAGAGGCCAAAGGGAAGGGAACAGGGGAATGGCTGGTGGGAACGAACACGCTTCTTGATTAAGTCTGGCATCAACTTTAAAAGGCATAGTTCATGGTGACTCAAAAACAATTTTAATAACCTTCCATTTGTCAAAACCGCAGTATATAAAGTTCAATAAAGTGAAGTTTATGAAAACAAGGTATGCCCATAACATGCATCCAAGCATTCAACACAGCACAAATAGATCCATGCTTAGCAATTTTTAGAAAGTTCACTGTTTTACAGAACACACAATGATACAAAACTGATTTAATGGGTTAAATTTATTGTATTAGGAATTGGTTCTATATTTTCAAACAGAGAAAGCAACCAATACTCTTGATTGTTTTTTGTTGTTCTGTTTTTGTTAAGATTTTTAAAAAGGGGCTGGAGAGATGGCTCAGTGGTTAAAAGCACTGGCTGTTTTTCCAGAGGTCCTGAGTTCAATTCCCAGCAACCACATGGTGGCTCACAACCATCTGTAATGAGATCTGGTGCCCTCTTCTGGCCTTCAGGGATACATGCACACAGAACACTATACATAATAAATAAATAAAATAAATCTTACAAAAAAAAATTTTTTTAAAAAGTAAAAAAAGTGATGTTTCTTATCTGTTTAGCTTTTTAATCTATTAAGGATTAAACTTTGTAGAGTGTAAGAATAGTTAATATATGGTCTCCATATTGCTGCCCTGCTATCACAAAGCAATTTGATATGCAAAGTTAAATCACACTGAACTATCACTTGGATACAGTAACTTTGATGCCAACAGCAAACGGTGAGTTCTTGATGCTACGGCGCATGTTTTAACATTACTTACCTCTTTTGCCCCGGATTCTTTGAGGAGTTTTATGATGGGCGAGATAGTATTGCCTCTCACAATTGAATCGTCGATGAGAACAATTCTTTTGCCTATAAAGTTGTCAGACAACACACCAAATTTTTTTGCCACACCAAGTTGTCTTAACCTCATGTTTGGCTGAATGAAGGTTCTTCCTACATATCGGTTTTTACACAGCACCTCCACATATGGCAGTCCACACTGGCAGAGGAAAAATAAATGCACAGTTAGTAGCCGTACTGGGCTGAGAAGATGCCTTTGAGGGACAGAAAGCATTCATCCATTCCTCAAGGTAGCCATCTCTAATAACACACGCACACTACTTCATTTAGAAGCTAGGTGAGGACGCTCAGCTCCACCACTAAATTCTCTCTATATGCATGATGCCATCTTGTTTTTGGTGAAGTGTCTCACTATGTTGCCTAGGCCGGCCTCCAGCTCACAGCACGGTTTCTGCCTCAGCTGCTCTGTACTGGGACTGCAGGCCCATGCAACCACATGCAGCTCCTATGCAACCACATGCAGCTCCTATGCAACCACATGCGGCTATTTAAAAAAAAAAAAGTTTACAATGATGAGTAAAGATGGGCACATCACCAAAAAGAAGTGAGACAACATGAATGAGTGTGTATTGGTGTGTGTGTGTGTGTGTGTGTGTGTGTGTGTGTGTGTGTCTGATGAAAACAGAAAGGGGACCAGGAGAGAGGAAGAAGAGGTCATAAGGGAAGGGGGAAACAAAGGGTAACGGAATGCATGGGATAGCAAAGCACAAAGGAGAACTACTGGAGGGCAAGCCAGAGACCACGAAGAAAAAGAGGAAAGGCCGTGGGGAATGGATGAGTAAGAACAGTGGAATTCAAGTGTATGAAACGTCACAGTGAAACTCACTACTCTGTATGCTGTTAAAAATTAAAAAGGAGGGCCAATATTCTAATCTTGGGTGATTAAAAACTACTAATTGTGTGTGCGCATGAGCACATACAGGCATATGCACACCAGAGCTTTTATGGAGGTCAAGGGACAACTCACTGAGTCTTTGGTGATTAAAAACTACTTATTATGTGTATGCAAGAGAATGTACAGGCATATGCACACCAGAGCTTGTTTTTTTCTTCTCAAAATGGCCCCTGTGGTAGAATATTACTTTAAGGTGTGTCACTTTTTTAAAAAAATATTTATTTATTTATGTATTTATTATGCATGCAGTGTTCTGCCTGCATCCCTGCAGGCCAGAAAAGGGCACTCATTACAGATAGTTATAAACCATCATGTGGTTGCTGGGAATTGAACTCAGGACCTCTGGAAGAACAGCCAGTGCTCTTAACCTCTGAGCCATCTCTCCAGCCCCCACACCAGAGCTTTTATGGAGGTCAAGGACAACTCACTTGAGTCTTGGGTGATTAAAAACTACTAATTGTGTGTGTGCATTAGCACGTACACACATATGCACACCAGAGCTTTTATGGAGGTCAAGGACAACTCACAGTTCTCTCCTTCTACCATGTGGGTCCTAAGAATCAAACTCATGTGATCAGCCTTGGTAGCAAGAGCCTCTACCCACCAAGCCACATCTCAGCCCACATTTTGTTGAAAGAAATAGCTAATAATTCTTGCACAGGAATCAACATTAGATCCCAAACTTTCCTTTTTATAGTAAGTTGGTGCATTTCCCCCTTTGTGGTCCACATTTATTTCACTGCCAGAAGACCAACTCACCAAATAATAATTAAAAGTAAATACCTTTGCTGCGTAGCCAAGAGCTGCAGGCGTAGCCGATTCTGGAACCGTGCTCACCAAGTCCGCCTCCACGGGCGCTTCGATCGCCAGCTGCTGGCCACAGCGGTATCTTACTGTATAGACCATTTGGTCTGGAATGTTTGGAAAAGAAACAAATTGTCTTAACTGAGAATAAGAATGCTATTCTAAAAAGCTGGGACTAAGATTGTATAGACTGGACAGAAAAGGAAAAGCAATGTGTACAGAAACAATTGTGTGGTCTTTATTAAATTTCACCTTAATATGTATTTGAAAATTATAATCTTTATTACTGAGAGAAAGACAGAATCTAAGAGTTGAAAAGAAGGGCAATTATGATTTGTAGCTGAGTAACATATTCACAGCATACAGCCACATGCCTCCCAAGAGCCACATAAGCTTTTGAGCTAAGAACTGTCTTGTTTCAATGAGATGAATGAGATTTTTACAAACAGTCAAAGAAAAGAAGTGTACTTACCTTCAAATATACTATCTGGTCTTGCAAAATAAACATATTCAAAGATACAAAAAGCCACTGGGTCTCCTTCAGACCTTGGAATTATATCAAGAGTTTTGATACCATGTCTGGATATTTCTACAATTTCTCCAGGCTTGACCTCTTGGCAATATCTTTGAAGACACAAACAGACAGAAGATATCTGTGAAACTTATCATTTTATACAATGAGTATATGCTAGTTTTTAAAAGGCAAAAGAAAACTCTATAACTCTGCTGCTCCTATGCAAATTTTGCAAAATTTTAATAACAAGGGACTTAATATTTTATTGACTTTTTTTTTTAAATAAAGGGGCCAGTAAGTACTCTCATTCATGTGCCCACTGTCCAATCTTTACAGTGTATACAGTATAATCTATATTATCACTTCACCCTGAAAGTTATTGCGTGGTTTTTGAGGATGAGGAGCAAAGAGACTATTTTAATTAATTCTTTTTCGGTTTTTTTTTTTTTTTTTTTTTTTGAGACAGGGTTTCTCTGTGTAGCCCTGACTGTCCTGGAACTCACTCTGCAGACCAGGCTGGCCTTGAACTCAGAGATCCGCCTGGCTCTGCCTCCCGAGTGCTGGGATTAAAAGCATGCACCACCATGCCTGGCTTAATTTTTTAATTTTTTATTATTATTATTATTATGTTTTACTTAATTCTTAATAGCATGACTTAAAGAGCTGGAACGTTCAGTAGGATGAGGACACCTGCTTCCACGCCCAAGGACCCGAGTTTGATTGCTGGAGCCCAGACGGTAGAAGGAAAGCGCTGACTCTCACAAGCTGTCCTCTGACCTCTCCACAGGCACCCTTCGCGACACAATAAACAAAAGCAAAACAAACAAGCAAAAGACCCTCCCCAGTCTGCTCCCCAGGTCATGGGGTCCTACTGCAGCCGCCAAGCTTTCACTTGGATGCTGGGGATCCCAACTCAGGTCTGCACGCTCAAGCAGCGGAGACTTTGCCCACTGAACCTTCCGCGCAGCCCAAGTCCCTACTCAGGACAGTCAGTGTTTGGCCAATGAGATGGCTCAGTGGGTAGAGATGCCTGTTACTAGGCCTAAAGACCTGGGTTTGATCTCTAGAACCCACAAAGAGGGCAAACGGAACTGAGTCCTGCACATAGTCTTCAGATCCCCACACAAATGAATAAATACATGTCATGATAGAAATAAACAAACTAAATTGTGGGAGCTAGACACTGTGTCTCAACCTGCATTCCCAGCTCTCATGGGCTCCAGGGTGGCCTGAGTTAGTGTGAGACCTGGAATCAAAAACAAACACATGCACACTAAAAAAAAAAAATCAAGCGAGAATTGTGGCATTTTGAAAGACAATATTTTCAGAGCCAAAAGGTAGTATTGGTACATTAAAGTCAGTACAACTGCTACGCACAGTATTCACAAATGTTTTCTTATGGAAAGGAAATCGGTCATGGAAACAAAAATATCCATCACCTCCCCACCAGCCAGTTCTGGACTGATTAGGTGTCTGTCACCATGCCTGAATCAAAGAGTTCTGGCTCCTTCCTCTCCCGCTTCCCCTTGTCCCATCTGTTTTTTGTTTTGTTTAGTTTTGTTTTGTTTGTTTGTTTGTTTATTGGGGAGGGAGGACAGGTTATCTATACATATAACTCAGGTTGTTCTTAAATTTATAATCATTCTGCCTCAGACTTTTGAAAGCCAGAACTACAGGCATGTATCATCAAATTTGGCAGAAAAAATTTCTCATGAATGCATAAAAGAAAAAAACGATTAATAGGCTACAACTTACCTTGCACCAATAGATAAAAAGCTGCAAGATTCTGAAGACACCACCCATCCTTCAGTTTCTGAAGACTTTTTCTCTATAAATCACAAGGCGATCAGTTTAGTGAACGGGTTTGGGGAATTCTTTGTTTGTTTTGTGTTTGGTTTTTGTCTAGAGTCCCGGGGATAGAAGCCAGGAGCCCAGCACAGCCTAGGCAAGCACTGTATTAATTAATCAGCTACATCCCCAGTCCCCACAGGGAAGTTTTTAAAGAGGCTTTCGGGCCCTTGAGACTGGCTCACTGGACAAGGGGGATTTTGTCAAATCTGACAACTTGGGAGGGAACCACGTGGCAGAGGAGATCAGACTCCCTTGCTTGAGGTCTTCTGACCTCCATCTACCCCATCATCCGTGTTCATTCAAGTGCAAAGATGTAAAATCACTTTTTAAAAAGAGTTTTTTTTTTTAAAAAAGAGGCTACTTTGTGAGAATAACCAAACATCCAATAGATAGAAACTGCTATTACCATCACATTAAAAGCAGGTGTTCCACACAACTTAGGTAAGAAAGGCAATAAATAATCCAAGATTCCTTCTAGCATTATGATATCATAGTTTGAACAAGAGAGATGATTGGTTATAAAGAAAAATCACTGCAGGAAAAAAGGTTAGTTAGGCAAAAGAAATGAACTGGCAACTCAAAAAAGACAAAGAGAAAAAGGAATATAGTATTAAAAGCACGTAAAAGTCAGGCACAGCCAAAGAAGAAGACCTCAGAAACTAAGAGTGGGAGCTGGCGAGACGGCTCAGGGAGGAGAGCGCCCGCTCGGCAGACAGGAGGGCCTGCAATCAGTTCAAAGCTCAGCATGCCAGTAGTCACCTGTAACCCCTCTGGGAGAGACCCCCAGAACTCACTGGCCAGCCACCCTAGCTGAAAACAGTGAGCTCCAGCTTCAGTGAGACCCTGTTTCAAAAAGTAGAGTAGAAAGCAACAGAAGACGATAGTTGCCGTTGACCTCCGGCCAACTTCATACGTGTGTACACCTCCACCCCCCCCACACACACATTTTTTTAGAAATACCAACAGCTAGGGTTAGAGTGCTTGCTGTGAAATCAGGAGGACCAGAGTTCGAATCCCAGCAGGCACATAATAAGCCTGACTTCCTGCACATACCTATAACTCTAACTAAGGCTAGGCTTCCAGCAACCTCCAAGTTCAGGGAAAGACCCTCCTGCTTCACAGGAACGGGTTGAGAGTGATGGAAGATGACACCAGACACCCTCTTCTGGCCTCCAAAAACAGCACAGGAGCACACACCCACATACAAAGTATGTACACTCACATAAACTTAAAAAAACAAAGTAAATAAAGATATGTGTTTTCTTTGCTCCCTCTCTTCCTATCCACAAGCTTCCTGTAACCACAGATTTGGGGAGCTCATAAAAGAAAAAGGGGAGAAAGAGGAAGGATTCTGAGACTTGCCATCAGAAACAATAATTTTGAAAAGCATCATGAAAATCAAATTCCTACTGACCTTTGTCATTTATATCAGAAACTGGAATAAGACGACCAATGCACAGAGGGCGATTTCCGTACGGATCCCTCACTGCATAAATGACATCCCTGTGCATTATAAGCAGAGAGTACGCCGTGGGCGCTTCCTTCATTAAGTTCTTGATTCTGGAATTACAAGTCACTGAATGAATCACTCTGGCCATAAACACGCACAAGTAAAGCTCTTTTCGCCGGAGCTGCAAGCATAGGCTAGTTATACAATTACCTTGCTACCCAGTCTGGGGTATCGTCTCGTTCCTGAGGCGGGGTATACGCGAGTAACTGAGTAATCATTTCACTATCAGAGGATGTGGAAAGCCCAATACCATGGCGCAGAAGCTATGGCAGAGAGAAGTTTCATCATTAGACCATTAGATGCTCCACCTCTTGTCCAACAGCATACAGTAATAGAAGGCAGGCATTCTACAGATACTGAGTTACAACCCCATACCCACTAACTGTATGTACTGTATGTGTAGACTCACGACAGCGGACTGCTGCTGGGGGCAATGGGGTGTCTCCAGAGCTAGGCAGAAAAGAACTGCTTTAGCAGATATAAGGCAAAACTTAAAGGCAAAACTTAAGTCTGAGTGTAAGCAGAAAAGCCCTTTTCTACGACCCTCCATTATCCTGGTAAGTAGGGCATCTTCCTTCCCAAGAGTAGCAAAGTGCACCAAAGACTCTCAAACCGAGTTTGTTGGTGGCATAAATGTATATCCATACTTCTGACCGCCGACAGGAATCAACATTTTAAATGACTAAATGTAGGAGACATTAAATAAACATTGGTTGAGTGTACTTTATCACCATGAAATTCTGAACAGGACTGACCTAGAGGCTGCACCGCAAACATGGACAGAATAATTTAAGTGGACACTAAAAAGCATTTTCAGCAGCCAGCTCCATGTGTAAAGTTAAACCTAATACCTAGATAAGGGGCTATGTCTGGAAACAATGAGCTATGTATTGTTTACAACTGAATTCTTGGTGACGACTATTTCTAAGCAGTCAACTTTGATAATTTACTTCATATTTACACTTTTGTGATTGTCTAAATTTGTAAAAATACCCGTTTTCTCAATTTGTGGACAGAAATGTGTATTATGGCTACGACAATGCCACTGCTCACAGAGAGGGCACAGCAGAGTAGTGGGAGCTTCCTAAAGCTAAAACACAAAACAGACAATGAGTAACGATGAAGCCTGGGCTCTAGATATTTTAAATCCCCAATTCACCATTGTTCAGTTCCTATAGCTACTTATTATACGTGGAACATCAGCTCTAAAAATGCTAAACAAAATGTGCACATGCGTGTGTATGTGCATGTGTGTGGACATGCATGCATGCTGGTACTAACCAGCGCCTGGTCCTGAGGTTATCAAATGAACATTACTAGAATCTAATGAACTGAAGAAAACAGAGGACAGTAAACAAACGGTATAAATAGATCAAAAGGAGCTTCCAGGAGTATAAAGATGCCATGTAATCAGCAACAAACAGATGAAGCAATCACGCAGAGACAGAAACTGGACATCATTAAGAGAGGAAGCTCCCGGTGTGCCCTGGACAGGCGGCCTGAGTAAGCACTCTGCCCCGACTACTGGATTTCAGCTTTCTGTGGTTGTTTCCGATTTATAATTTTCTCATATTTGTCATCTTCAAGTTTAAACTCATTTTCCTCACATGCCTTCTTTTTTTCTTTTTGTCACATGCCTTCTTATGCTTCAAGAATATAAAGAGTATTTCCTGATCCAAAACCCCAAAATGCTCTAAACTTTGAACCTTTTTAAGTTTCCACACGGCTCTGAAGGGGAATCAGATCATGAGCCCCCAGCCCTCACTGAGGCTACTTGCCTCCCTGTTGCACACGAAGAGCAGTAACTTCCTTGTAATTACTTCCAATGATCTATTTCTTTAGATAGAGGAAACTGTCAGGAACTGGACAGTCAGCCTCATGATTCACAGCTGTCAGCCCGTTCCTGAAACTGGTCAGTGCAGCAGTTACCCAAGAGCTATCTTGGATTTGCCTGAGGACAGCAGAAACAGAAGCCAGGAACCGGCTCTGTAGCTGCTACTGTTATCTCGGTGGCCCCCAGATATGGCAGGGCCCAGTGTTTCCTGGGAAAGCTGATGGCCACAACTTCGGCTTTTACCATTTTCAGGAAAATCCTGAGAGCTGCCAAATAAATGGGTCAGGACAACTGCAGGGAGACTCAGACCAACCGTGGACACCCATAGAGACTTATTTCAGTGGGGAAAAAGGGGTACACTTCAATTGCCAAGAACCCTCAAAAGTTACTATGGCCATGATAGCTTCGGACAACCTTTATACAATCCAGCCTGCAGCCCGCAGCCCGCAGCCCGCAGCCCACAGCCATCCAGATAACCTCCAGACCTCATCACAGCTGTCTTCAGCCCCGCAGGGGCAGTACCTCTCTGCACCAAGTCAGCTAGTCCACATAAATAAGCAAGGCTGCTCTCAGCCCCTGAGCATCTGTCTGGGACACTTCCTTCCTGTGCACGGCCTCTGTGCTGCAGCATAGCCAATTTGATTAGCTAGCTCATCTGATTAGCTTTGCTGCCTACTTAAGGCCTTCCAGTATGGGTCCAGTAGGCTGGGCTGGTTGTACAGGGAACAGGTGGTCCCTTGGGGTTTCTCATTCAGGGACACCCAGTAACAGCTAGAAGAAGGCTAAGGAGTTCAAGGGGGTGGGCAGGACCACAGGCTACAAAAGACTTCAGAGCATTATAAAGAACTGTGGGAAAGGGCTGGAGAGATGGCTCAGTGTTTAAAAGCACTGGCTGCTCTTACAGAGGACTTAGGTTCAATTCCCAGCACCCACAAGGCAGCTCAAAACCACCTAAAACTCCAGCACTTAGGAATCTGATGCACGCTTCTGGTCTCCAGAGGCATCATCACTCATGTACATGGTACAAAACATGCACTCAGACCCACATACATACCCACAAAACAAAAAGGATAGTGCAAAGTACTGTGAAGGTGAGGGACAGCACAGAGCTGTGGACAGCAAAGGTGAGGGACAGCAGAGAACTGTGGACAGCTGGAAGACCCGACTGCTGGAAGGCTTCCAAGATGCTGCCAAGTCACTAGCTCTGGTTACCCAACACCCCAAGCTCAGGGCTGTAACACTAGATGCCGGGTCCCGGGCATGTAACGCCCAGAGTGGTAATAACACTAACAGCAGAGAGCCGTGACACCACAGGCTCAGAACTGGTGACACTAAGGGAGCTGTACTTTGTACCTTCATCATTTCTACGTCAACAGAGCAGCAGAAGAAACAAAAACAAAGACAAAAAAATCATACAAACTTATCTATTTAACATGTTTCATCTGTACCATGAAATATAAGCTTCATGTTGACTTGGTTGCATCTCAAAATGTGCAAATACTACAGAATCTGAAAGATCTCCCACCTAAGCATTTCAGGCAAAGAATTCTGAGTCTATACTGGACTTTCTTCTTACATTTTCATAATATTGTTCCGATAGGGGAAAAAATATGCCTGTAATCCCAGTACTCGGGAGATGGAGGCAGGAGTTGTTTCAGGCTAGCTAGATCTATATATCTGTTCTGGGCTACAGTGAGACTTGGTCACAAAGAGTAAGAAATAAATACATCATCACCCTTGACACCCATGGGGGACAGCTCCACTGGCTTGCAAAACCAAACCCTGCATGTGCTTAGGTCCCTTAGACACAATGGTGTGGGGCTGAGGACATGACTCAGCGGCACAGTGCTGCCTACCACACATAAGGTCCTGGGTTCAACCCCCAGAACCGCAAACCAACAAAAGCCACTTAAAATCCTCTTTCTATTCTTACAGTAATGAACACTGTAAACTACCAGCAGGTCATTCAGGGGCTAAAAAGGAAGAAGGCTATACATGTTCAGAAGAGACAGCTTTCTACTTTCTACTCCAAATATCTTTTGTCCACACTTGAGAGATATGGAGAGCTAAAAAGCCAAATGCACATTGATTGCAGCCTAATCTCTCCTGGCACACAATCCCAAAACTGCCTGACCACTGAAGTAAATGTATTTTGTACAATAATATAATAATAATATGTCTCAAGATAGAGGGTAGCTACCATGGAAACCAATGATGTGATTAAAGAGTTATATTCAGTCTTAGACTAGACTTCCAAGGAGGGAACAGATGCCAGAGGTCAGGTTGACCATCAAAGGCCAATCCACAAAAGATAAAAAAAGGACTGGGTCCATGGAGCTTCTGGTTGGCTGAGCACCAATGGAGGTTCCTGGAGAGTGGTTTTTAGAGGCACCGAGGCCTCATGTCTCCTCCCACAAATTCTGCTATACCCACCTCTTCACCTGTTCTGTATCCTCCACAATGTCTCTTAAAATAAATGAATACGCATAAATTAAGCATTTTCCTGAGTTCCGTGAGCCACTCCTTACCAAATGAAATCAAGAAGGGAATGTGGGAACTCAGTTTACAGCCTGTAGGCACTAAGTGCTCAGGGCCTAGACTTGGAGTGGGCATCTGAACTGAGCAATAGTCTCATGAGAACGAGCTCTCCACCAACTGACTGTCTTAAAACCCCACATGGCCGGGCGGTGGTGGCACACACCTTTAATCCTAGCATTTGGGAGGCAGAAACAGATGGATCTCTGTGAGTTTAAGGCCAGCCTGGTCTACAGAGTGAGTTCCAGGACAGGCACCAAAGCTACACAAAGAAATCCTACCTCAGAAGACCAAAAAAAAAAAAAAAAAGAAAGAAAACCCCATGTCTGGTCATAGCATTATGCAGTGCTGAGTTTGGACACAGGGAACAATGGCTTGGTTTTTCTCTCTCATCAACTCTGAACATACGACAACGTTATATATAAGGGGATGTTTACAGTAATCCCTCATGCTGCTGACAACGTAAGTCAACATTCCAAATCACAGTCTGAAGTGGCACTGCTTCCAGTCACCTGGGGAGTACCAGAATCTGGAGTTAGAGCAGCATGCCAGGCAATTCTGATGCAATGGCTTCTGGAACCGAGGTAACAGGCGGCAATAGTTAGAAGACGCCCTTTGTCGAGCCCTCCAATGTCTTTTCATTAACTATCATAACACCCGAAGTGCCGCTAAACAACAACTTACCTTTTTCCTTAACCGAGCTGCATTTACCAGTTCCCCATTGTGTGCCACGGCTATTTTCCCGTGAAGAGTTTCCACAACAAACGGCTGACAATTTTCCAGCTCGCACTTTCCGGTCGTGGCATAGCGCGTATGACCGATTCCAAGGTTTGAGACGTATAATTTCTTCAAATTGTCTTCAGTAAAAACATGATTTACAAGACCCATTCCCTTGAGAAGTCAAAGCAAAAGTAGATGTCGGAAAAAAACAGAAACCGGTATTGCTAGTAACAAGACTACGCTCGGGCAGTCCAAACTAGACAGGTGTTTCCCGTTCTTCTCTGTGCACCAGGAATCGAATGAATTCACTTTTTAAACTGGACTCTGGATGTTCACATTAAATTCATTTTGAAGTGAGCAATTTAGTGTTTAGGACTGCCACAGCATTGACACTTCTATCTTATGACACTCTTAATTAGGAAATGTTAAAGACAGATAGTGAGCACTAAGATTTTATTACTAGACAATGAAATCTGTCGAATATTAACTGGAATTGGCATTAAAAAAAATCAAGGCTTCTTAAAAATATTTAAATAGATGACCCCCTGGCGTGAATGAGCTGGTCTAGCAAAAGATCATTGGGAAAGAAATCCATCCTAATTTGGTAAGTGTGAGGACACAAAGTTGGAAGTAGATAGACTGACCCAAGAGTCTTCTAGATGGCTGATCCAGAAGTCTTCTTAGTAGACTTATCTAATTGCTTCTAGCTGCAATTTTATTCCTATCCCCACACTTTATATATTTACTAACTTATTTATTTTAGAAAAGTGTCTTACCATGTAGTCCAGTCTGGCCTGAACCTTGCTATATAGAACAAACTAAACCCAAACTCAGAGATTCTCCTGAGTCCTGGCATTAAAGATGCGCACCACGTGACTACCCCCACCCCAGGTATTAATGACCAGCTGGCAACAGTTATCTCTAATATCATCAGTTTTGAATGCTCAAACTTACCTTATGCACCTTGAATGTCGGCACTGAACTCCCATCACTGGTCACAATACCAGCACTCTCCTGACCCCTGTGAACAAAGAAATGGCTCCTCTGTGAAATCAGCGAGCTTCATGGGATTTACAGGTGCACATCAGCACTTATGAGCACACCTCGGGGATTACAGGTGCTCACCAGCTGGGATGACAGGTGCCCACCACCTGGGATGACAGGTGCTCATCATCTGGGATGACAGGTGCTCATCATCTGGGATGACAGGTGCTCATCATCTGGGATTACAGGTGCTCATCAGCACACCCAGTTCATCTTTGTCTTTTGCTTTTCACACTTTGAATCTTTCTCCAACACCCCTGCACCCATTTGTTTGGCAACAGGATCTCTCTATGTAGTCTAGGCTGCTCTGGAGCTTGCTGTGTATGCCAGATGGCCTCAAACTCAGAGAGTTAATACTGGATTAAAGGTGTGCACCATCACCCCAACGTGATACAGTGGTCTTTAAGTTATATTTTTATTTTCTGCACATGGATGTTTTGCCTGCATGAATGTATGTGCACAACATGGATGCCTCTACAGAGGCCAGAGGAGGGTGTCAGATCCCCTGGAACTGGAGTTACAGACATTTGTGAGCTGCCACATGGGTGCTGGGAACAGAACCTGAGTCCTTCTCCTTTGCAATAACAAATACCCTTACCAATAAGCTATCACTTCAGCACAAAATGTGATGCTTTTTAAATGTATGCTTATTAATATTAACTATAAACCTTAAAAAAGAAATCCCAAAGTCGCTGCCAACCATTTCCAAGTCATTAAAAAAAAAAAATCAACACTTTTAGTGAAGCCAAAAATTATATAAGAAAAAAAAAAATCACACCAAAATAGTTTTCATTCCCTTTACTCCAAGGGTAATTTTTCCCCTAAAGCCCAAACAAGTAAGATTAGCAATCATTTAGGTCCAGGGTATTTAACCAGCAAGCCTGCTTCTTTGGCACCTTCTAAAATTACTCCTTTAGGCAGCTTGAACCAGTTAAACTACATCCTTTCAAGCTCTCAGGAGCTAACTACAACCACCCCTCTGGTTTCCTAGGAAACAAAACATTAGCTAGAAATAGCGAATCATTTCCAGGTCACTTTCAACAGGGAGGGCGGAGCTGGACAGCACTGGACTGAGGAGGAGGTTAAAGCTTTACTAAGTGTCTGGGCGGAAAGAAATATAGGAAAACAACTTTATGGAACACTGAGAAATAAGGGAATATTTATTTACATTGCTACAAGGCTGCAATCACCGGGCGTATACAGAGATTGGAAACAGTGTCGTCCAAAGTATAAAAATCTCAAGTATGAATGCGGGACAGTTAGGCATGCCCACAACTCAGGAGACAGCTCGAGAACTATGAAGTTCTTCCACGATTTGGATGCAATCCTGCAGGATGAACCCACCACATAATTAACAGAGGAGGAGGATGGCTACAGCTGGTACCTGGCAACCCTGGGCTCCAGTACCGCCCCAGAGATTACCGGAGGTAAAAAGAAAAACGCCATTCTTTTGTTTGTTTTTCACTTCATTTACAATTTCTGAGTATATGTGATAAATACAGCCTGAAATACCAAGATTAAAAAAAAATCCAACATACCTTTTTGCACAAGGTATGGATGGATTTCAAAAGGAAGTTCAAAACCATCCCTTCTTACATCTCAAATAAAGCAAAAGCACATTAAAATGGCACTAAATGCTGTACCAACTATGGTTGATGTGGCTCTGAAATAGATAGGTTTGAAAGATACTTTAGGACTTAATTTTAGAGTGTATCAAAAATGCTGTCCAGCTATGTGTTTCATACAGTCCCCAAGAAGACAGAAATTTCTAATATTCTCACCTTCCTAAATGTATAAACAAAACCCCTAAAATGGAGCCCCCAGGAATTCGGGCTTCTCCAGGAAATTGCAAGGAATGAAAACTGGCTGGCTGCGGGGGCCTTGGACACCAGAATACACCCACCTTCTGGGACAAAGATCTACGTATGTTTATTTCATCTTTTCCATCAGTCGAGTCACTGCTACAGGCAAGGTCAACAGACAGCCTTCTCTCCAGCTTTGGTCAAAACTGTAAGTCAGCTCACTTCCCACATCTCTGTGGACTACGTCATTGTCTCTTATCGTGGACAAGCATCTGCACACAGAGCCAGGCCCCACAGCTAGAGATCCAGCAAGAGAACCTGGTGAACCAGGAAGGGATGGTACCAGACGCCACCTCTCAGATACGAGTGTCGAGTGCGGCTGTGAAATCTCTTTTCCCTGTTAGCCAGTGTCAGCAGCCTTTCGCCACTTGCTTGTTTTAAGGAAAAACTTAACTTCTAAAATCTACCAACTCCAATGTATCTGTCTCTCCCTTCCTCCCCCGCCTCCACCTTATTCAGTTCTGAGGAATGAACAGCCTTGGCTTTGCTGGGCAAGCGCTACCCCTGAGCTACATCCTTCCTCACACCGCTAGTCCTTTCTCAGTTAACCTCTTGCAGGTTGGACACACTTGTTTATAATGGTGTGTAGGACAATTCCCTCCTTTTCTCCCTTCCTCTTTCTTCTTTTTTCTTTTGCAGGACTAGGAATTGAACTCTAACCCCTAACCCCACAGCTGACACTTTGACACTTAATTACTAGCAGTAGGCAACATCTCTAGACTTACTTCTATAACTGACTACTCACGTCGACGGCATCTCACGTAAGCCTCGTGTTTTAACTGAAATCAGTCTGGACCATATTCCAACAGTGGCCAAGAGCCCACTCATTTGTTTCCGTGAACAGTAAGGCTTCCAGCTTCAAACCTCTGGAACTTTATGATTCACACTACAAATGACCACGAGAGCTTTTCTTGTTTCACTCACAGTTTGCACCGGGCCCTTTTCTGGGAACATAAAGCCAGGTAAGAACTAGAAAATTCTATCCTTCTTTACTGAGTCCTAGTAAAGCTAGGAGGTAAGGGACCTGTGGGCCACCATCTTCCCCTTGCTTTTCTCTCTCTTCCCAACTCTTTCTGTGTTTTTTGTTTTGTTTTGTTTTTTTGCAACAGGGTTTCTGTGTAGCTCTGGCTGTCCCGGAACTCACTCTGTAGACCAGGCTGGCCTTAAACTCAAAGATCTGCCTGCCTCTGCCTTGAGTGGGATTAAGGGCATGTGCCACCACCACCTGGCCCTCTTGGTTCTCTAAAGCAGAATTTTAAATCTAAATCTGGAATATTCCTTACCTGCAACTTAGTCTCAATTAACCGTTAAACTGGATTTAAACCGTTTTAATGTTGAGACACTGGTTCTCTCCTACCTCATGGGTCTAGATGATCAAACAGGTCTCAGGCTCGGCGGCAAGTCTCTCTGTCCACTGTGCCATCTCACCAGCACGTGACTATTTAATCTAAATCATACCACTCTGTAATAAAATGTGTCCGAATCTACAGGAATTACCAGTTACTCCAATCCAATTCTCCCCTCCTTGGTTCAGCGGGAGAAATCGGTCTCCCAAGCAAACATCAGCGCCACCAGATCACAAGGACCCTATCTCAGGGACTCTTAGTGTAGACCTCTTGCATCAGACAGTGAACTAGGTATAGAACAGGCCAAAACGTACTGAAACCGATCTACTTTCAGGTTGGAAAGTAAATGTAAGGAAAATAGACATTCCCCCCCCATAGAGCCTTAGGATTAATGATTTCTCCCTCTTTACCCATCTATACAGAAAAATAATCATTTCTGAGTCACATAATTTCTTCAATAAAATGCAGGTTTCCTAGAAATATTGGCTTTGTAGGTTCTAAGCTTTACTCTTTAAGTCAGGGAAGAAATGTCAGAGCTAAGCTTATACACAATAACGAACAGCAGCTTTCTAGGGGTCTAACAAGACAAAACAGAAATTTACATCTGGTAAATGTAAATCCACAGTGAAGTCATGCATGTTTTAATTAATTTCAAACCCTTACTGAATGAAGCTAGCTAGCTCATTTCTGTACCTTAAGAGAAAAGCTCAGCTAATAAATACTACAGCCCATCCCTATGGAGAAGTGACTTAATAATATAGTATCTGCTTATGTATCTTGTCTGACGTATGCAATCTGTATACGTTCTTCTCTCTCCAGCGGATGCAGGTATCTGTACATCAATAATGGAAGCCCCTAATAATTCAACTCTTATTCCAACGGTAGCAAATGAAGGAGGAAAACACCGGACTACACCAGAAGTCCGCGCTCTGATAGGCATCTGGTCAGAAAACAACTACACAACAACTAGAGGGAACGGTGAGAAATGAAAAGACATCTGAACAAACTGCAAGCAGGCTTCAGAAACCTGGAATAGAGAGAGACAGGGAGCAGCGCAGAACAAAGTCTGAAAATCTAAAACACAAATACAAGGCGGTGAGAGCAGCCCGAGGCCTAGGCATGACTAGGAATAGGAAATGTTTCACTGCGTTGAGTGCTATTCTGGGAAATGACAAAAAAGAAAAATCACAAAAGCACGAATTCCAAGATGGAGAATGAACCACAGGATGTGCACATGTAGAAACTGAAGCTGACCAGACAGGTAGGGCGTGGAGGGGAGGAGGTGCCTTTAACATGTCACATCACAAGGGGTTCAGCTGCATAAGACAACACAATCTGAGTTAAATGGGTTTCATTAAAACCCATCACTTATTTAAATTATTATGTTGAGTATATGCTACATGGGGATGGGTGGGGGGCATGTGTCCCAGTGCACACGTGGAGGTCAGAGAACAATTATGGGATTTGTATTCTCTTTCTGTCTTCACAAGGGCTTCTGGGAATGAATTTAGTTAGCAGGCTTGCATACCACTTACCTACTGAACCATGAGGTAGGCCCCTTAGTAAGTGTTATTATATTAACTAGTTGCTGAATTGATAATGAAATAGAGTTAATGCATACTGTTCTCCTTTAAAATGCAAAAAAATTTTTTTTTACATAATTACAAAGGAAGAAAGAAAGCAGGATTTTTCAGAACAAATCTTAAAATAGATAAAATTTTCAAAGCCAATATGCAATTTCAGATCACAGAAGTTAAGGCAAGATTCCATACCAACTACACAGCACTGTAAATCTAAAAATGGCACCAAAGAAATCCTTAGAGGTGGGTAAGCCTTCTATGAAACGTCACAGAGCTCTTTAAAAATCAATGCAGCTGAAACGGCAGAGATACAATGCTCACACACACAAGTAACATAAAATGAACTGAATGAGTTCTGGACCAGGGGTCAGGAAGCCAACCTCTAAGTCAGTCTCTCAGAAGATGGATGGAACCTGGAAGCAGCCAAGTACACAGACTGTTGCCTAAAATGGGAGGCTCAGGCAAGGTGGTCCTAAAGACCTCTACTGGACACTTTTCTCAAGATTTGATTTGTGGTTTAAACGAGGCAACCCTAAGGAAGTAGAAAACAAAGTGTGTTAGCTACGTATGCAGCTATTCACGTTAAAAATAAAAGGTAAAGCGTCTACTGATAAAGTTGCCCACAGGCTGTACAGTGACAAGTCAGTGCCGGAAGGGGTGGATGGAGACTATGTCAGAAGACTTAGAGATGAACACATTGTCAAAGCAGACAATCACGGAGCATTAGTGACTTTAAGATGAAATTCTGAAAGGGAGGGAATAAAAAAAATAAAAAACTATATATCCCCTTACGTTCCTACAGTCGCTGCTGGAGAAGTCACTAAGGATGACTCAGTGAGCAGTCAATCAGAAGACAGCTTTTCTAGTGTCAAACCAAGTCCTGACACAGGTAAAGTGATACTCTGCTTTTTCGTGTAAGACGAAATATTACTACAGGGTATCACTATAAATAAACTTAATTATGCCTCGCCCAGCTCCCAGGAAATCCATGTACTGGAGCCCTAACTCCCAGAGTGAGGGTCTTTATGGGATTGGCTTTGGAGATTGTGTTTCCATAAGGTCATGAGATGGGCATGAGGAAGGTTGAGAACCACTGAATTTCAGCAGGTTACAATCAGGTTAGTACCTACATTCTTTTTTTTTTTTTACATTTATTTTTATTTTATTATGTGCATTGGTGTCTTGCCTGCATGTATGTTTGTGTGAGGGTTTCGGATCTCCTGGAACTGGAGTTACAGACAGCTGTGAGCTGCTATATGGGTGCTGGGAATTGAACCTGGGTCCTTTGGAAGAACAGTGAGTGCTCTTAACCTCTGAGCCATCTTTCCAGCCCAGCACTTACATGCTTAAGTCTCCTCAATGACAGCTGGGGTTGGGAAATCACAGTGAGGCTGCCACACTCGAAGCTCCCAGTCTCCTCCTGTTACACTAAGTAAAATGGAATGGCCGTGGCAATTACCATTTCTTTGGATCTAAATGAATGATTTGTTTTTCCTCCTGGGTTTGAAGCACAGACAAGTGGGGAAACAAAACTGACTCGATTCGCCTCCAGTCTCAGCCGCCATTTCTATGGCTGGAATTCCCTGGTAGGTATACTGTGCTCTTTCAAGCCATAGCTATTTAAAGGACAGTCATGGGTCAATTCTGAGTTGGAGGGGTGGAATCAAGTACACTGAACAGCTGCTGCGTGAGGAAAATGGATCTCGTTTGAAGGTTACTCAGAAGTTCAACCTAAAAAAAAAAATCACAAGTGAAAGGGCCACATTGTTCACTTGAGACTAACCCCAAAACTTTTGGCTGTACTAAAACGCCTTGCTGAAATTAAAAATGGCACTAGCCTCTGATTAAAATTAGCACTGCGATGGCCGGCAGAGGGCCTATCTGTTGCTGCATGCGCAGAACATTTCATATATTCAAAGTCACACCAATCACAAGTATCTAATTTCAGAACATCCTGACCAGCCCTAGCAACCACTCCAGGAATGTCACATAAATAGTATCATACCACGTGGCCCTTTGTGCCTGGCTTCTTTTACTTAGAATCATGCTTTTAAATTTCATTCACAGGGCTGGCGAGATGGCTCAGAGGTTAAGAGCACTGGCTTCTCTTCCAGAGGTCCTGAGTTCAATTCCCAGCAACCACAGGGAGGCTCGCAACCATCTGTAATGAGATCTGGTGCCCTCTTCTGGTGTGCAGGCATGCATGCATGCGGGCAGAACACTGCATACATAATAAATTTTTTTTTTCTTTTTTCTTTTTCAAGATAAGGTTTCTCTGTGTAGCTTTGGAGTCTATCCTGGAACTCATTCTGTAGACCAGGCTGGCCTTGAACTCACAGAGATCTATCTGCCTCTTCCTCCCAAGTGCTGGGATCAAAGGCGTGCTACCATGCTTGGCATAAATAAACATTTTTTTTTTTTTTTTTTGGTTTTTCGAGACAGGGTTTCTCTGTGTAGCTTTGCGCCTCTCCTGGAACTCACTTGGTAGCCCAGGCTGGCCTCGAACTCACAGAGATCCGCCTGGCTCTGCCTCCCAAGTGCTGGGATTAAAGGCGTGTGCCACCACCGCCCGGCTTAAATAAACATTTTTAAAAACAATTTCATTCACACTGCAGCCAGATCAGTATTTCAATTTTCTTTTGTGGTTGAATAATATTGTCTTATGGATATACTATATTTTTCATTCATTGGGTGATGGATATTTGAGCTGTTTCTTTCTTCCTTTCTTTTTTAAGATTTATTTATTATGTATACAGCATGTATGACTGCAGGCCAGAAGAGGGCGTCAGATCTCATTACAGATGGTTGTGAGCCACCACGTGGTTGCTGGGAATTGAACTCAGGACCTCTGGAAAAGCAGTTGGTACTCTTAACCTCTGAGCCGAGCCATCTCTCCAGCCCTTGAGCTGTTTCTGTTTGGGTTCTTTTTGATTTTTTTATTTATATTTTTGTATGAGTGCTTTGCATATGTACTTACATGCCAGAAGAGGGCATCAGATCCTATTATAGATAGTTGTGAGCCACCCTGTGGTTGCTGGTATCTGAACTCAGGATCTCTAGAAGAGCAGCCAGTGTTTTTGACCTCTGAGCCACCTCTCCAGCTCCTCTGTTTTGGTTCTCACAAGTACTTTGTTATGGTAAAAGTTTTTTCTTCCATCGTGGAAAAATACCCCAAATATAAAATAACCATTTCCAGTGCAGCCAGTGGCATTAGTATATTCACACTGCCATGCAACCACATCCACTCTACCTCCAGAACTTTTTAACCATCTCAAACTGAAATAGCTGTATCCATTAAGGAGTGACTCCCCATTCTCCTTTCTATGTGATAACCAGTCCTTTGTTTTCATCAGTGAGATTATTCATGTATGCGGTATTGCACAATGATTTATCTCTTAATTCATTTAGCATACTGTCTTCCAGGTTCATGCATGTTCTAGGATAAATCTGTGCCACAAACTGCATAGCTATTCACCTGTCAACGATCATTTGGGTTCTTTCTGGCTTTTGGCTATTTTTTAAAATGTTGCTATGAACAGGAGCATACAAATGTCTGGGTTCCTGCTTCAGATTCCTTTGGGGGTTACAGAGTGGAACTGCTAGGTTATACGGTCATGTGTTTCAGTTTTGTAAAGGAGCTTGTACACTGTTTATCCTCAGCAAGGATCTGACTTTATGTTGAACCTGTTTTCAATTCTCTGGGGTATAAATGTTTTCCAGTGATGGAACCATTTCACCTTCCCAACAGAATCTTTAAAAAAAATCTACCCAGTTACAGTGATTTAAACAGATGCCCAAATTTCCACGGGGTCTGAAAATTATCTAGCACTAAAACAGCAAATTTTGAGATGAGGCCACTATATAAGCATATTCAGTATGCTAAATGAATTAAGAGATAAATCATTGTGCAATACCGCATACATGAATAATCTCACTGATGAAAACAAAGGACTGGTTATCACATAGAAAGGAGAATGGGGAGTCACTCCTTAATGGATACAGCTATTTCAGTTTGAGATGGTTAAAAAGTTCTGGAGGTAGAGTGGATGTGGTTGCATGGCAGTGTGAATATACTAATGCCACTGGCTGCACTGGAAATGGTTATTTTATATTTGGGGTATTTTTCCACGATGGAAGAAAAGACTTTTACCATAACAAAGTACTTGTGAGAACCAAAACAGAGGAGCTGGAGAGGTGGCTCAGAGGTCAAAAACACTGGCTGCTCTTCTAGAGATCCTGAGTTCAGATACCAGCAACCACAGGGTGGCTCACAACTATCTATAATAGGATCTGATGCCCTCTTCTGGCATGTAAGTACATATGCTAGGTAATCCCTCTCCTCCCGTCCCCCTTGGCTGCTGTACACCAGGCATTTGCTAAACCCACGTACTGTTTTACCAAGATAACCTCCAGCAATTGCTTTCAATAAATATCCCAGAATAGTATTTTCTTTCTTGTCTGAGCCTTTATACTTAAAAGAAAATTTTAAACTTAAGTTTTTCATTGATGGGAAAAGATGTTTACTTTTCTTCAAAAAGTCTGTGTAACAATCTACCGCACTAGCATATGCAGCTTTGGTCCAGTAACCGGGTGCAGTTGGTCATTACTTACTACGTCTGCAATAGGAAATCAACTCTTGGAGTGTTTTCAAGGATCATTTGCTATCTGCTATATCCTGATACAGGCATTCCCAGTTAAAGTCAGATAGCACACGACCTTGCCTTTATTTTAGCTATCATAGTGTAAACAAGGGTTGCTGTGTATTTTGTTTTGTTTCACTTTAAATTTCTAGTTTTCGTGATTGTATTCTCACACTGAAAAATGAACACCCACATACATATGCCCCAGAGAATTCCTTCCTCACATATTTGTCTTTCCAGGAGTATTAACAGAATTACAATGAAATGCCATGAACCTAAGCTGGAAAAACATTAATAAAAAAGTTGAAATATACTTGAGAAGTCAATGTAGTTTCTAAGCTATGCTCCTGAGGTAAGGTTACTTCAAAAACACTTGAAAAACAGGTACATTTTCCAGTATACAGGCTCTAATTGTTTGTTTATAGAGGGTTTCATGTAGCTCAAACTGGCCTCTATCTCCCTATGTAGCTAAGCATGACCTTGGACTTCTGATCCACCCAAACAGTATGCACCACCATGTTTTTCCACATTTTTGTACACTTGGGTGTGACTTTTATTTGAACAATGCTCTGAGTGCTGTGCTACCATGCTATCTAGAGCTAAGAGTCAGGAGCTTTGCTGAACCTTAGGGAGAAAAGACATCAGATAACCTTCATTCAGGCTTGACTTACAGTCACTGTTGGCAGAGAATTCAATGTTAATGAATTCATTACATTAAGCAGGAACACACTTAAGAGTTACATATTGAGCCGGATGGTGGTGGCACACACCTTTAATCCCAGCACTCGGGAGGCAGAGGCAGGCGGATCTCTGTGAGTTCGAGGCCAGCCTGGGCTACAGAGTGAGTTCCAGGACAGGGGCCAAAGCTACACAGAGAAACCTTGTCTCGAAAAACCAAAAAGAATTTGAAAAAATGAATACAGAGTTTTACAAAAGAAAAATGTCAACTTTCAAAGAAAACCAAGATTTTATGAAGAAACTGACTGCATCCTAAGAAGCAGGCCCCCCGAGAACTACTAAACGGGAACATGGTAAGCCTGGCGATGACCTTAACAAAACAGCTGTAAGAACTTTCCTCTTTGCATTTATCAAGGAAAAAAAAAATTTCCTAAAAATAAAATCCATACACCATTATTATTTACTCAACAAATTATAATTATTATTTGAAAAACACATTTTTAACTTCAATTTTCTTCTAAGTTCTGACCAAAATAGTAATTTGTCAATTCATGCTTAATTTCTCTAATCACTTAAATATTCCTAGTTTGATATACTTGAAAACTAACATATACCATCATGTGTTACGTACTAATTCTCTTGTTTAAGAATTATCTGAAGGTCATTTTGAAAGCCAAGGAACTGTGAGTAACAAGGAAAAAGTAAGAGCCTGAGAAACACCAAGGTTTTTTCTTCTGTGAAAAACTTTTGTTGCTTTTTCCTGATAACAGAGATATTTAGCCCTGTCCCTGACAAATTAGACTAAATACATTGTGAACTATTTGAGAGTAGAGAATGCTGGGAAATTAGTTTACAGCTCATTAAGAGGAAGAGGAACTCTAAAAGCAACTGGACACATTCCCAGCCAGGTGACTGCAATAACTGCACCCCTTTAAATTACACTTAGTTATATAAAAGGAAAAGGCCCCACAAATTAATAAGCTGTAAAATTTGTTTTTTTCCAAAGGAAGATAATAATGGGTGTACTGTTTTAATAAGTCTGAAGACAGGCTAAACTCTGAAACCCATTTAGAATTATGCAAATTAAAATTCTAGAATGAACCAGCAATCCAGTTGTGACAACTCATTCCCTTCGGAGGCTGAGGGAAGACTGTTGTGAGATGAAGTAGAGCTCCAGGCCAGCCTGGGACAGAGTGAGACCCTGTCTTAAAAAGCAAAAAACAAAACAAAACAAAAACCGTGAGCCAACCAGATACTTTGATGCAATATAGAAAAGAAACCCAAATATGCAGACGTTCAATTCAAGTTCCTTACATAAAAAGGTATAGTATTTGTATATAAGCTACACATACCCTCCTATATATTTTAAACCATCTCTTGATTGCTGATAATATCTAATCCAATAACTGCTATGAAATAGTTACAGTGTATATAAGAAAAAGTCTCACCGGGCGGTGGTGGCGCACGCCTTTAATCCCAGCACTGGGAGGCAGAGGCAGGCGGATCTCTGTGAGTTCGAGGCCAGCCTGGGCTACAGAGTGAGTTCCAGGAAAGGCACAAAGCTACACAGAGAAACCCTGTCTCGAAGAAAAAAAAAAAAATTCTCAAATATTATTATTGTCCAGCCTTAATAATCTTCTTCCTAGGAGCCCAGAAGAGAAGCTACGAACGGCACTAATAATATTTTCAGGAAAATAATCTAAGTACACCGAGCTCTTTCGTCTGTCTATAAAATCCTATCTACACAGCTTCAGTTCTGTTCTCATGCCTAGCTCCTTTCTTGTCTGATTTTCCTCTACCTTTATCTGCTGTCCCTTCTAAGTTCTATCTTAATTCTCTCATCTCAGTTCTGCCCTATCTTGGTCTTTCTCATCTCATTCTTCCCCATCTGGCTCTTCCTCATCCTCGATCTCATTCTTCTAGTT